AATAAAACATCTCAAAAATTCCAGCACCAAGGCGTGAATCTCGTGGCTGATCAGACGTTATTAGCTCATGAACAGAAAACGAACCCAAACCCACATAACTTAAACACCTTGTAAACTTTTATAACGCTTACGCACTTGGCCATCACAATGTCTTGGCATTTGCTCGGCTCATTTAAATATTGCTACCAGTACAATATTGGAACACGTCTGAGATCGAGTAAAATTTTAATGGTAACTTTTGCCTCTTAACGAAAAAGATAAAGCGATTTCATGCAATTTAGGCAACATGACTGGTCTCCTACAACGCAGTTTAGAAAACATTAGGATTATAACGTTATGATTATTTTTTCCCTTTACAGACCTGTAGATTTTCAATCATCGCTGTAATATTATTCAATGCCCTTCTTAATGTGTATAATAACTACGATATTTCATCGGCAATGGTTCGCCCATCCTAGACATAAAGCCATTTTGACTTGTAAATTATGATCCCAACAGGACATCATTGAGATTCTGAGCAATGAGTACACTAAAACAAAACGAATTACTTTTGGACGGCAAATCGGCTCAACTGCCTTTGTGGTCAACATTCAAATTCAAAAAGCAACTAAAAAGGAATATGACGAGTGTTGGATCCCAAAAATATCACAGTTGTAAAGGGCCACATGTAATACTCTTGGCGTAGTAACATCACGCATTATTAAGAGCTCAGAATCTAAAGTGGCCAAAGGCAGCAGCAATAAGACCTTAAGATGACCAAAAACCAAACCAAATCGTATTCTGCGCACAGTTAGCAACCCACGAACCTTAAATCGAGCGGTTTATTAACCATCACGCTTTGACTAGTAATAGCGGAAATGGGCAGTAGGATAAAATCAAACAAGTCGACCTGATTTGGGACACCAGCAAAACAGCATCATTGGGGACCAATAAGTAAATGTAAGTGCAAATACCACTGACTTTCCTTTTCCGCCAAAATATCAGCATTAACAATAAACAAAAAATCAAATCCACTATAAGTAGACCGTTACCTTTGGGTCCCTGGCTACTTTCATCGAACATGGTGCCACATGCCTTTTGCACATCCGACATTTGCGAGATTCAAAGTGGCTTCCTCTGACACTGCTACTGTCTGCGCCAGGTCTTGGTAAACCTGAACGCCTATTGTCTATTCGCAGAGAAGAAGTGCCTCCTGGTGCCTGATTTCCCATTTGTAAAATGTGGCAAAAGTTAAGGACTTGCAAATGTTGTGATACTGGCATTAGCTTTTTTTAATGAAAACTGGGCCAACGCCTATTTTTATCAGATCTTAACTTCTGCAGGTTTCAAGCAAGTTAATTTATCAGCTTCCTTTGGCCTCACCACCCTGCATGACTTATATCATCTGGTGAAAGAGGGGTAAGAAAATTGGATTACTTATTTGTCTAACTTTCACCAATTGACCGGTATGGACGCATGTTGTGAAAAATCTCATGCTGCCTTTATGTAATTTGCTGCTTTTATCGAACATACTCATTTTTATGTAATTTAGAATGTGTAGATCAAGGATTTTAGATGGCATCATCCCACCCACCTACCTGTTTCAGCATAACGTCCACCTCGTGGCAACCGGAAATGGCATGATTCTAATTGAGGCGTGCCCATGGTGGTCAGAATTCCTCCACCTATTAGTAGATTAAGTTCATCTGTAAAAATAGTTACCTCAGCAGTTTTCATGAAACGATGGTTTATCGCCTCACTAATACCCAATCTGTATTTGGCAGAACTTGGAGAAGTCTAAAAGGGACAGGTTAGTAAAAAAGCACCAAGTATACCCAGTGGCAAATGAAAGCGTACCGCAAATAACGCAAAGTAAAGCCTCATCACTACAAGCACGGAGAGCAACATGGAGAGCCAGAATTGCCAATTTTCTCCCTGTAGCCATTCCATTCATAAAACAAACGTACACGCAAATGATAGTAATAAGCAACTACTTGTCTACACAGATGCAAGGACTTTCGTATTAATGAAGACGCAACATATTTAAAAAAATTGCAAAAAATACAAAAGTGGTACACTTGAATACTCGTATCGGACTAAAAGATTATAGTGTAACAGGAAAGGTGATTAATTACATATCCCTGGTGCTTAGAAATGTAATCAACACATTAAGTTAACGAAACTAAGCAGTCAATATGCTAAATTATTACGTAAATGCAAGTATACGCCCCAAACCGCACAGCCTACGAGAACAAATGCAATACTACCACGCTCATTCTAAAACACGCACCAATGAAACATATTTGAGCAGAGATGTTCCTTTGCGACAACCAGTTCATGAGAATGAAATATATTAAAGCATATTATGAGCTAGGCACGCAGTAACTATCACTAGTAAAATAGACACCCACTTAAACCCACCACAGACATGCCAACAATAACAGGCAGCAAACACAGGCTTGCTTATCAGGTCTTTGACCTTGAATTATGATTAATATTTACTGACTCTATGAAACGAGCTGATTCCATTTAATAAGACTCGTAGCACCAAATGTATATCTGGACAACGACGCTAAGACACTATCATTTTTAACCTGCGTAATCAAAAGGGAGTTGTTGTCTGAAATGCTCATATGTCAACTTTCGTAATTTGATTGATAAGGGACTCAAGAATAATGCTCTAGATGTCAGTTCTGATTAAAATACCACGGGAGAAACACTTTGAACAAATAATGGCGCCGTTCTTAAAGCGTTTTAATCTTTTGTCTCTTATTCTGTAATTATGAATAAGGTTTAATAGAGGATGGCCTTTTATTGTGAAATTTAGGGGGGTTTAAAGCATATAAGTTGTAAGGTAGAACCACTGAATACCTGCTTTTTAGAGCCTAAAAACGTTTTTATCGTCACTTAATGAACTGCATGCAAAAAAGTAATGGGACTTTTTCAGTGTAAATCCTTTGATTATTTTCCAAGTGCTATGACCAACTTGCGAACTGTTACCCTAGAAAACAAACCATGTTGCTTCAGTAATATTTTGCACTAAATTTTGAATTTAGTCTGATTTCTTTTAAATTTTAAACATTCAATGACATTGCAGGGACTTTCCCTCTTCTTCAACACCCACCTCTTCAACAGTCGGGCTTATTCCAACCCCCTGATCCTGGAAACACCCACTAGTGGCTACCATTCCCTCCCAAATTTAATATCTACCATAATGTGTTTGTCTTGGCAAAGCGCGCTTTCCTGAATGAGTCAGAAGCATCCACAACTTCCTGTATGTGCCTCTCCAATTGACACATTAATATTTGTCTCCCAAGCCTGATCCAGGAGAACCTTCTGCTCTCTTTATTAAAAAGCAAAACAGTTAAGTTAAACTGTAATTAGGCTACGGTTTCGTTACAAAGCAAGTTTGTAGTACATAGGGGGAAAGGGAGGAAAAGAATTGAAGACGGAAGACACAAAAATAAGAAGTAGGTAGTAACGACCACACAGTGTATACGGATAAATAACTGGGATAAAAAATTCTTACTTGCAGAAACCTTAAAGTATTACAGTTTCAGACGCTACGCTTAAGACATCTCAATGTATCAGTGCGTAAATGAGCGAAATCACATGCTTTGATTTGTTGTGTACTGGTATTTGGCAAGAAAAAATAAAGTTTGACTATTTTTGGAGGAAATATTACATAGAAAATGTGTACTAAAACAGTAATGTGAGCAAAGTTGTCAAGTTCACTAATTAGGATGAACGATATTTGTTGATGGATTCACACCATTATTTTAAGATTAATCAAAGCAACTTTTCAAGCCTCTTGTTCGCAGTACCTGATATTTGCGAGAATGCCTCGTTTTTGGTAACATTTGAGCAAGTGAAAGAACTACAACCAGTACAAATTGACCAGAAATCAAACTTCTTTCATATGCATTTTCAATAGGATGACAAGCACCAACTTATATTTTGAACGACGAGAATTTCCGAAACTGTTTGCGGATAAATTTTCGACTTACGCACCTACAGAGATTTTCTCTTCACCTGGTCTACTCAGGAAGATCTGACTGCCCCTGATGAAATGAGGCTGAGTAGCCAAAATTAAGCTGACAGTTTTGACCTCAGTGTCAATGACCCTGTCGTAGACAATCGCTCCACAGTTATGGAAGTGGTCGCTCAGGACTGTGTGAGTTGTACCACCATCTGTTTCCCAGATCTAACAATGCAGTACATCTCCGCATTCTGGCAAGTACATCTTTAGTTTGCTTTCACTCATAGAATTTGCCGATAACTTTCACCTAGCGTCTGCGGTGGGAGACGCCTTCGAAGAGCTGATCACGTGTGGGGCCTCCACAATGGCGGTCCAATCCCTCCCAGCTCGCTGGATGCATTTATCAAGAGGCAAAATTCACTATCCAATTTGGCTTAATCTCGGGCATGTTCTAATACTTTACTGGTAGCAGGATTTTCAAAAAGCCTTGTGGATGCAAAGATATTGCAAAGGCTAAATGCAGAAGTATTATAAAAATGCACAGAGGGTTGAAGATGTGTAAATTTGGAGTTTGTTTTCACCTCAGGGACTGGTGGCGTCCGATATCTCTTGGGGTTCATACCTTAGTCTTTGGATTGTTGGGAAGCTATAAAGTAATGTTAGCCCAGAATGATCTTTATAACATGATAGCCGATTTTTTTCAGCTTCGGCAATGGTTCTATGCTCACTCTAAGCACTGGATTGTGCCTAATAAGTTATACGCTTGCCTAATACTCTTTCCGCCTCTTAGGTGAACATCAAGGAAATACCTTCAGCGGCGTTTACATCAGCTAGGTGGGGTGTTGTATTCTTGGGTTCGAATGAGGCACAGCCTAGTCGAGGTCTCAAATAGAGTTGAATCAGACAGCCAAACAACTGGTAAGCAGCACACTTACCACTGGGCTGGAGCTTGTGTTTGTTTAATGGAGGACTCACACGCGGATGAAGATGAAATCTCACATGTCCGATGTGATACCTCCTTTGATGTTGCCGCACTACCACCGCCTCAGTAGTTGCAGCTTTTACAAGAAAATTTATCTTTTACTAATGGTTACTTGTAGACTCGACGACTTCAAAAAGCAAAACCGCTCTCCGTGGATAAGAGCGAGCATAAACCCTCTCACTGTCACACATTTTAGAAGGAATGGGAAAATTTTCATTAGGCTACTAGAATGGTGATTCCGTCTGGTTCCAAAAGAAAAATTTACATTTCTTTTTGCACTTTTTACGAATTTGTTGTATTTTATAGTAATAACCTTATGCTAAATTGAACACCTCTTCCCTGACAATAGTTTATCGCACTCTTTCAATGAACCCTTGTCATATTGTTTCCCTTGTCACTCTGGGGTCAAGTATCTTTGAAGCATTTCAAATTAATTTCAAAGAGCAAAATATCCCAGAAGACAATTACATGCTGACCTCTTGTACGACAAATTTAGATAAGAGTTTATAAAAGATGGAGCAAATTGAAGTAGGCTACAAACAAGAATTAACAACCAAAGAACTCAGTCGTGTTCAGGGGCTAAGAGCGTCTGATCAGCCACGAGATTCACGCCTTGGTGCTGGAATTTTTGAGATGTTTTAGT